AATTTTGATTTTTAACTTTGCAATCCTTTTAGACACTAGTTTAAATCAATTTCCGGTCCAATGTTTGATGGCGCCTTTAGAATGCTTGAGTGACTCTATCAACCCAATTCTGTTGTTCATTTTCCTAAATTCTTGAATTGAGTTCCTCGTCATCTCTTTAAAACCTTTTTCCTCCAACAAGAAGTTATAAAATCAAAATGGTTTTGGACCCCAATTAGCCTCTTCTTTCACCAATAAAATAGCATTGTTGCTCCATCAACCCAATTCTGATATTGACTTTGGCAAAAGTAATTGCGATGAATCTGGAAAAACAATCAGAAATTTGACGTTCATCAGGAACCTATCTAATCTCACAAGAGTTGGGCAATCCCTTTTGTTGCTCCAAGTAAAAGCCCCTTTGAAGGGGGAAGTCCAGTAGCTCTACCTTTTGGATGAAATCTCTAAAGCAATCAGTTGAATGGACTTTCTTTACCACTCATTTTTTCTCTTCCACTTATAAAAATGCATTAAAATCGCCCCCTACACATATCAACAGATTTAAGTTCTCCAGGTAAGAGGCTAAATCCGAGAAGAAAGACGCATTCTCAGCCTCCATAGCATGGCCATACACATTAACTAGGCAGCAAGGAGTCTGACTCTGCTTTACCCCCCCTATTAGAACAATAAATCTACTACACACATAATTTGATTCTAGCTCAAAGAAATTCTCATCCCACAAGCACAGCAGACCCCTTGAAGCTCATTTTGAGGGGGAAGATAGATTCTCTTTAAGACTGATTCCTCCCGAATTCCTTAGCAAACTAGGTTTAAAGGCTTCCCTCTTTGTTTCCTGTTGAAATACAATTTGAGACTTTCTTTTAAAAATAATCTTCCTAACCACCTTATCTTCTCTTTCCTCCCCAACCCCCCCTAATGTTCCACAAGATTACTGTTAAACCCATAATAATTTATAATAACAAAACCTGAAAAAGACCTAACACCTCCCTTCCCATTCATCTTCGAGTTCTACACCCTCTCTCCAAGTCCATATCCTTTTCCAAGAACTTCTCCTTTCCACCTTCAAAAGAATACCTAGCAATCCGCTCACCTCCCAGGTAGCCTCATCTTCTTCTCTCTCTTCTAAGGGACGCATCCTATTTAGATTGGTCAGATTGGGAAGAATTTGCCCTAGCATGTTCTAAAGAAAGTCAAATTTGCTTCCTCAATCTCCTGTAAACCTTAATGTAAAATTCCATCCTGGGTCCACCTTCATATTGCTCGCCTCGAATCATTAGGGGTTGATTTTGATTATCCACCGAGACCCCATTTCTCTGGCTTCTTCTTCGATATTATTATTTAACGAGACTCCTTTGAATTGTTTGTGAAAAAAATAGAGGTGGGCAAAAGTATTGGATCCAATTGATTTGATCCGTTGATCTGTCGAACCTTTTTTGGGTCGAATTCGGATCATAAAATTGATTTTTATTCGAGATCTCATATTTTTTAGGGTAAATTAATTTTTTAGTCACTTATATATTATCTAATTTATATTTTGGTCGCTCGATTATTATTTAAGATAAACTACTTATTTGGTCACTTATATATTATCTAATTTACGTTTTGATCGCTTGACTATTATTTAGAGTAAACAACCTATTTAGTCACTTGTATATTTTTTAATTTATGTTTTGGTCACTCGATTATTATTTAGGTAAACTACATATTTGGTCACTTATATATTATCAAATTTATGTTTTGGTTACTCGACTATTATTTAGGGTAAACTACCTATTTGGTCACTTAAATATTTTCTTATTTTTATTTTGGTCACTCGATTATTATTTAGGGTAAACTATCTATTTGGTCACTTATATATTATCTAATATAATTCATAAATATTTTTATTTAGGGTAAACTACCTATTTGGTCGCTTATATATTATCTAATTTATGTTTTGATCACTCGATAATTATTTTTTTCAAAATTATACCTAATGTTACGTTTTGATTATGTTTTGGTCGCCTATATTTAAAAATGAACAATGATGCTAACATGACATTTTTTTAATTATGTTTGGATGTTGAACTATTTAATTCGAAATTTTAAATATTTAAATTTATGTGTGTTTTTAATTAATAATTTGAAGAAAAAAATAGGGTATTCGGGTACCGATTACCGAGTACCCGCAACATCTGAGTCAGAATACGAGCCGAGAAATTAATTACTCAAAGATACGGATACCCGAATTTGCACACCTCAGTCAAATTGTCTAGGACAATTTCAGAATCAGAGGATAAGAGAGAACTCCTTGAGGCAGCACTTACGGGCTCTGGGCTAGATTGAGCATGCCCATCAGAAAATGAGTTCAATTTTTTCCTAAGACCATGCCAGCACGATCTTTATTTAAGGCAATCAGAGCATTTTGGATGTCTGTCTCTTTGTCATTAATATTTCCTATTCCCCTCTCCAACATCAATGACGGGTGACTCGGGCAAGCGGGTAGATTGTTGTCAGATTCATTCCCCCTAGATGCCACCTGTCCTGCCCTCATTAAGCCATGAGCCCATCCTATTCTGCGTCTCTAAGAAAGTCGGTTGGTTGTCCAGATCAGCCTAAAAATTTTGGCCACCATGCTCCTCGCTTTCCGATGATTCTAAATTCCATATATCTTCTGAGTTTTCCCTGGATTCCTTACCAGAAAAATCCACTGAGTTGATTGTGGTTGCTCCCGTCTTGAGAATAATCGAATACGATCTTCCTTTCAAACAAATTGAGATAGTCCTCGGGACATAAAAAGGACTTGCAATCCTAATTAACATCTTCACAACCGTCAAGTCTTCTTTGTTCCTCGTCGCCTCCTCGATGTAGATTAACCGTCCCCATTGATTCACCAAACTTGAGAAAAATGACTCGTGCCAGCAGTTCAGTGGGACACCAATGAGGTCAATGGAGCAGTAAGCCATGAGAATGTCATCCTCCATAACCTGGTGATCCCACCGTTCAAACCAATACGATAATTTGACCTTCTTGTTTGACAACGTCTCTTGCAATACTTCCGTCGATGGAAAAGTGATAAGACATGAGTTCCGAGCATAACCCCATCTCGCTACTCTGACGTCGATTCCATCATTGAAGAGAGCCCTTTGAACGAAACCTTTTGAGGGGAGATACGTCCTCAGGTCCTTCTTCTCTCCTCCTCCCACGTTACCGTGAAACACCGGGGGTCTTTTGCTTGTGTGGGAACTGTCTGACTTTTGGTTTCTAATCAGAGCTTCCATATATGATCTGTTGTCTCGCAAGCTTCCAAAATATCCCTCCCGACCTCTGTTTGTCTTCCTAACTCATCCAGAAGCCACTTTTGATCCTTTCACCACCTTACCTGGAGAAGCTTCTCCTTTACGAGTCTTCTGATATTTGGTTATCACCACAGAAACCCTTTTTCCCGTTGATCCAAGTTCCATCCACCTTCTTAATAGCATTAAGGCAGTCCTTCTCACAGTCGAATTGAACGAAAGTAAAAGTGGAGTTGTTGTACCTTGTCTTATCGACAACCTTTCCATGGTTGTTAAAATATTCCCAAAGTGATTCTTCTACTTAGGTTGTTGACAAAAACCGTCCAGATTTCTCCGTTAACGGACGAATATTCCGCTGCTCCTACGTCACTTCTCATTTTGTTTTTTCCTCCTCCCGCACCAACCATAAATTTTATTCTTGGTTAAGGATCCTTTGAAACTCTTTGTTTAAGCCTTTTTTTTTCAAAATTTCTGTAGGGCCTTGATCTAAAATAGTTTGATGACTTCTGGATACCTTTTAAACGATTTTGCAGAGTATGCTTCTGTTTGAAGATATTATCAAAGGTCAAAGCCTTCCAAAAAAAATTTATCTCTTTAACTGATTCCTCAATAGCATCCATAATCGAGTCTTTCTTACAAGTACAAGCTCTATTAAAAACGTCATTAAACTTCGGGTGAGTTAACCAAAAGCTTCAAAACGGAAAGGTCTTCTCTCTTTGTCCACAGTGCAAACCAAGTATGAATCCATCAAAATTGGATGATGGTCAGAGTAATGTCTTGGAAGGACCGTCACCTGAAGGTTAGGGAAAAGGTCAATCATCTCGATGTTGTATAAAGCCCTGTCTAATCATTCTTGTAGGATGCTCTGTCCATGGCAGCTTCTAACTCAAGTGAACCTATTACCTGTCCATCCAGCATCCATCAGGTTACATTTATCCCAATGCTCTCAAAATTTAATAATTCGGTCAAGACAATCAGCATTACTCCCACACTGTCTTCAATAGAGGCGATATCATTAAAATCCCGTCACACTCTAACGTATGTTCATTGTGTCCGCATAATTTTTTAATAGGATGAGGTTATATTGGATTTCAAGATGCAAGGAAAGAGTTCTTTAATTCATTGCTTCGTTAACAAGAATTCTACTCAACACAGTATACAATATTGTTTTTATACACAGCCTTAGCAACACAAAAAACCTCCTAACTGATTAACAAACTCATAACAACCTAGCTTCTAGACTAACTTCTAGAACCTGGACATGCATGAGCTGCATGCATATGCATGGCATTACACAAGCACACTCTTTATCCACGTGAGCCTGCATCATTCTCTCAACATTCTCCCTGCTTTCTCAACCTTCTTGATGAAAAGATGAACAATTGAATCGAAAGTACTAACGCTTCTTTCCGTTCACTTGAATCGAAAGTGTCGGTGCTTCCTTTCGTTCTTCTTGAATCGAAAGTGCCGATGCTTCCTTACGTTCACTTTGAATCGAAAGTGCCGATGCTTCCTTACGTTCACTTTGAATCGAAAGTGCTGATGCTTTCTTTCGTTCTTCTTATTCACCTTCATTTCTTTATTCTTCACCCTCTTTTACAAGGTTTCTTGACATATTTTTTTATGGACTCTTGACTGTGAAACTTTCAAGTTCCATGACACTTTGAGATAGAAGCAACAAAAGCAACAAAATGAATACAAAATTAAACACACAAAAGAATTATACTACTATGTAGAAATAACGGTGCAATAAGAGAAAAATCTAGCTTTGTCCACTGGAACACCCATTGCACGATAAGTCAAGTGTCTGCCATCAGGGAGCTGGATTCGGCTTGCGCTAGGAGGATGAACAAGTACTTTCTTTACTGGTGGTGCCGATACATCATGCGCACCATTCAAATTTAGAGCTGAAAGTGCAAGGATGAAAACAAAGAAGATAACAGGCCAAGCGTGAATAGGATCATGTTCCTGAGGCAAGAACTCATTCAAGAAATTCAACTGACTAGAGACCTTAGCCACGGGTCCACCAAGCTTCTGAACTATAAACGAATCCTCAGTAACTTTCGATTTCAAAAATTCCTTCACTTGTTCCGTTTGCTGCAAAACATCTCTACATCCTCTTCCAAGTTCTAGAATCATCTCGCACCACGGTTTTAACAATTCCTTCACTTGTTCCTTCAAGGCCTCCGACGATTTCATTTCATGATCACTCTCAGCAACCGGCGTCGGTTTCTGATCAGTGAATGACGGTAACGACGGGAAAATTATTTCCTCAGTGTATATTATCCTCGGATCTTCCATCAAACTCGCCAGCTCCTCCCGCCACAACTGTTCTAACAAGAAATTTTCGAAGCGTAACTTTTCTTTTTCTGGATCGAAAATCCAATTCCCACGGGAGATTTTGTTTGTAGAAGACTAATAATCGATGGTTTCTCGTCATTGATAATTTCCTTACAATTTCTAATAAACTTGTTATTTCTCACACCTATGTAGTTCCAAGATATCATCTTTACAACTGTTTTGATTTGAGGGATGAGTTTCCCTGGCATCCAGGCGTTTTCTTCTCTTGTGTCACTTGAGTGTTTAAAACTTCTTCCATGGCAACACTATCATGATCATTCGAACATCCAACCTCCAAACTAATTCCCTGAGGTGTAATCTTAGGAGTTACCTTGCTCCCTCTGCTGTTCGATAACTATCTTTGCTGTTGTTTGGTTCTACTACTTTTTTAAATGAGTTCCTACCCCCGAACTTTTAATTACTGACCATAAATGAAGTCGAGAGGGTCGAAAAAAGAAATTCTCCCTTTTCTCTTAATTTAAGTCTCTCGATATCCCCTTTCCTTCTCAAATTCTGTTAGTTTCTTCTCTTATCATTCACTCCACCCAGAAACTTCTAGAAATAACAAAACCTAGCCTGCCATCCTCCCCCTCTCTGTCACATGCCGGCTTTCAGTTCTATATTGTGTTGAAAACCTTTGATTCAACGGTGTCTGACCGCGCGAGCCAGGTTTCTTGTTACTTGTTTGGTTGGTGGGAAAATTTTTGCTTTCGTTCCCGGTACGAATGTTAAAATATTTTGACATCTCCCTGTTAGATTTGAACATTTCAATTTCTTTTAATGTTTTTCTTTATGATTGACGGAAGAAACGGGTTGATGTTATAATATTTGTTCATCAATTATATCAAAACATCACAGCAGCGGGAGACTGTTTCCATTTCTGTGAATCTGAATAAATAAATGAATTTCAGTGTTGAATTTGAACGACTAAAGTAGATATTTTCAGCTAGAAGCATCCAAGATATATCTTTGTTCATTTATTTATTCTATCTTCAAGAGCTTTCTCGGCTAAAACGTACACTATTATTTTTCTTAATCAGCAGCAGTTCAGGAACTAAAGTAGAGGCGGAGGAATCTCTCTCTTTACACAGGACCGAACCTCATGGCCTGCGAATCCGCAGCCGGTGTTGCCGCCGACTCGCAGCGATCTTTACCGACTCCGTTCCTTATGAAAACCTATCAGTTAGTCGACGATCCCTCCGTTGATGACTTGATTTCATGGAATGAAGATGGATCGGCTTTCATCGTTTGGCAGCCGTCGGAATTCGCTCGCGATTTGCTCCCTAAATACTTCAAACATATCAACTTCTCCAGCTTCGTACACCAACTCAACATATGTAAGTGTTAAGAGTTTGCTCATAGCAAAAGTATAATTAGTTCATTATGAGAAATTAATTTATTATAAGATACCGTTATTGTTTTAGGATTTAGGAAGGTAATGCCGGACCGATGGGAGTTCGCTAACGATTGCTTTCGAAGAGGCGAGAAGGAACACCTCCGAGACATACAGCGCCGTAAAATATCTCCTGCTTGTTCTAGATTTCACTCGAAATTTTATTCAGATAATTTAATTGGGAACAACAATTTTTTAGCTTCTTGTTGTGAATAATTAGAATTCAGTAAGCCTACGAAAATTTTCTTTCTTTCTTTGGGAGCATTACAATTGCACCACTATTTTTTTTTATAAAATCAATTTTTTTTTGTTATTTGTAGCATTAATATAATACAACACCAATTTGTTATATAAATCAATTGTTTTAAGTAATTTTATTAGAGGTCGGATATTATTATAAAATAATCTAATTTTTATAAAATTGATTAGATAAAATTAATTCTCAAATAGCACTTCATAGTTTATATCATTATGAAATAAGAAACTTTCAACAAATTAATTGAGATTTTTATATATATACACGTATGCATTTGTAAAAAAAAAATAAAAACCTTATCATGAAAATTAATTTGGAATCTTAGTACAATACAATACTAATAAAAATAATAATTATTTAAAAACACGACACCTTCATGTATTAATATTTTGAAGATATAAAAGTTTAGTTTCAGATTTTTATTAATTTCAAAAATGTTTATCTGGACATGAAATTTTAAACCCTGTTCTAAAGAAAATTATTTCATACACCAGTTATATGCATCACTCTGCTTATTAAAAATAGACTCACCAGTTACGTGCGTCACTCTGTTTCTTGTACTGTCTTGTCATCTAATTAATTAAACCATATATGCTTCATTGTTTATATGTGCTAGAAGTCTAGAAGCCGCCAATGTAATTCAGAACGCATAGAAGATGCCTTGAGCAATAGTAGACAGTGCATGTTATTATCGAATGATGAAAATAAAAACGAGAAAGAAACGTGTTGTTCAACTCAGCCAGTGCTTTAGATGCCAGCGGGAATCATCATATACATGAAAACCATAGCTAAAACAAACACATCACTAACCCCAGTACTATGATAGATGACATCTACACCACCACCACAAAAGGACAATAATAGAATAGCCTATAATAAGTGCTGTACATTAGACTGCTGCTGTTGAGCTAAAATCATAAGCAGATGTACCAGAGTCATCGACCGTGAATGGATTGCTTCCGTTCTTCTACACTTCCTCGTGGATGCTACTCTTTAGAATGTTGTATTTGCAGAGAGGGCAGGTAGCATTGATGTATAGCCACTTATCTATACAGGCACAATGAAAATGGTGTCCGCAAGGAAGTTCCCTTAGCTCAACTCCGTCATCATAAGCGGAAAGGCAAATGCAACATTCCTATAAATTAACCCCAGAATCAAATATCAGTTGGGTACTTCACTTAAACTCCCTTCAACTCACACAAGGCCAAATGAATTGTCATAAAATAGTCGTCTTTTAACATCATTAATTTCTGGAGGGGCAACTCGTAGGAGGAAGATAAAGGAAGTAAACAGAAAAAAATACAAAAGATGTCAGCTTACTGCGTCGTCTGGGGAAAGCATTTGTTCCCTGGGGGAATAGTGCCACATTCAGTCATTATTCCCCCAACAGGTCCTTGTACATCACCAGCAGATTTCCCATTATCATCGGTTTTTCGAAACTTGAATTTAGACAACTGATCAATATCTTCCTTGGTAGCTCCCTCCTGATTCAAGAGGTCATATGAAGCCAGTAAAAAGAAAAGTGCATCAAAGAGCCATACAACTACAGAAATTATTAACTAATTAAACCTTTCCAGCCAAACCCAGAAAGAAAACTGTTATTTAGTGTACGGTGATTAAAACAATCACCTCGATTGAATCAGATCCAAGTAGAAAGTTCAAAATTCACACAAACAACTAAACTACATATGAAGCACAAAATCATGTGTCAAATGCACACAAACAACTAATAAGGCGTATATAATCACGGGATTTGAAATTACCTGATCTGCCACATATAGGATTGCAATAATACATGGAAGACAACAGCAAACAGCAATACCAATGATGCATGCCAGTGCAACGCAGAAAACAACAAAGAAAACATCGAAACCAAGAAAAATTATACAAAGCCTGCAGAGGAAATAATAATTAAAATAGTTAGGATCTGGTTATAGAGGAAAACATTCAAACACCATAAAGACAGCTGGAAGAATAATGCTTACTAACCAATAAAGCTGAGGGGAGGAGCGTGCCAACGCTTGGCCACCTATAGATACCCAGTAGAATCCAATGATCCACCAGATGAACGAGAACATCGTGTTCGTAATTCAAGATGCTTTGCAACACTACTGGAAACATCAATTTCAAATGATTTCAGCCATTTAAGTGTGCAGTAATATCATACACAACTTAAAGCTATAACAGATGAGTTAAATGTCTGTTAGGATCATAATAAGCTCTCAACATTTAATTTAACTACTTTCAATGCTTTGCATACATGAAAATCCCCAACCGATATCAAATACCTAATTGCAATCCAGATATCACAAGAAAACATAAGCCGATTTCCAATTCCTCTATTGTGGCATGTAGCCTATTTATTCCAATTTCCAGCAAACGGAACGAAAATTCCAAATTCCTCTCCATTTCCCCAGAAGGCCAGAACCAAAAAGAAAACGATCATATAATTTATCACTGAAGAAAGTAATGCCTACCAAAAACCTTACCAATTCGCAAATAAAACTCAAAACTAATAAAAAAAACCCTATCATATTAGCTTCTCAAATTCTTTTAAGTAACAATATATGTACCTTCCACTATTCTCTTCCAGCTGAGCCAATGACACGTACTGCTCTGAATCCACCCTTGATCTTGGGCTGGGAATCCCTTCCTCGCCGGCATTAATTGGCCTGTATCCCAAGCTCTGCTGCCTCCGGCGCCGCCTGTACTCCACACAAACGCAAACCATATGCAACAAACACTGCGAAGCGTAGCCAATTATCCAAAGCCTCAACGGCATCTCGGGCCTCTCGTCCCTGCTAAAAAACATAACCCCGACCGACACCACGACGAAAGCGAAATTCCAGATAATGTCGAGGACCACGACGGGCTTCGAATACGCCCAATCGCTCTGTCGCTCCTCGAGCTGCTCAGCCGCGGTCTCTCGAACCAGCATGGAGGGTTCACGCATCATCCTTCGGCTGCTGCTCGCGCAGGAACCGAGCCGCTTCACGGAGGCTCTGGCGACGAACGGATCGACGTGCAGTGGCCTCGTCCCGCGAACCGTTGCTTGTTGAGAAAGAGGCGTCGCATCGACGTATCATCCGACGAAGATCGGTTCGTTGTCGTTGAAGCCATTTTTGGTAATTCTCAAAATAAAATAAAACGTCCTAGAATCAAACAACAACAACAACAGGTAGATCTAGAAACAAAAGAGATTTACGGGGTTTTTTTTCTTTCACTCAGGGGATTTGGATAGTTAGGGTTCTAGGGAATGGTGGAGATGGATAGACAGATGGCGAGTTGACGATGCTGGTGAAACCAAACCGA